GACAGTTGACTATCTACTAAGCATGCATTCGTAACAAACCTAGACACAGAAAGACTAAACTGACTCAATCACAGAGAGGGACACAAAAATAGAACAACACAGAAAAATAGAGAAAAACAGGCGAAGAACTAAAAAACAAAGACTCGAATAGAGACACAGACCTCAAAACAGAGACTTATAGACTAACTCCTAGACATGGTTAATTCTCTTCACACCCTCCCCCAAACTTAAAATCCAGCATTGCCCTCAATGTTGAGTAAAAAGAAAATGGAAGAGGAGATAAAGAGAATCAACAGACACACATAAAACAGAAAAAAAATAAAAAGTAAAAAAAAAAAGAAAAGAAAGAAAAAGAAAAAAAAAAGGAACTAGGGACTCCCCTGGTTACTTATGGGTTCATCCCATCAAAGGGATGAGGTGGTGGACCTCATGGCATATTGCAATCACTGTGGCATCCCATCTTGTCATGGAGGTGCTGGATCATTTCTTCTTGCCTAACAGCCAATCGATGGATGTAATCCATGATGTACTTTTGTTGTTTCATAAAGTGCTTCCTCCTGATCCTAGTGATTTCTGGTGGCTCTTCACGTGGTGGTGGTTCTCTAGCTAATCCTTGTAGACTCCATGGGCGAGATATTGTTACTTCCAAATTGGCAGGGACGAATTTCACATCTGCCTTAGCACAAAGCATTGTTACTAAGACAGGGAAATACCAACTCCGAAATGCCGAGTCAGTGATGCACCTGGTCATTTGATCTCTAATGAGCGCCGCCACGTCGAAAGGAGTGGAGGTGACAATAGCATATATGAGCAGAGCACGCTCATAAATGACCACTTGGCTGAACATGGTTGGCATAACCGTGCTGGTGATGAATTTCAGCTACATTTTGTTCTCAGACTTCAACCAGGTATACAGGAATGAATCAGGGGCTATTTCCTTACTCAAAGTCCACTCAAGGTCATCACGATCCTCACACAATTCGAGCAAGAGTACCTCAGATAGATTTTAATTAAGATGAAGGTTCTCCAAGGATTTCATATAGTCTGTCTCCAAAATTCGAAGCCCCAGGATATCCCTAATCACAGCGGTGAAGAAATTCATATGCCTTCCACGAACATAAACCACATTTTCCTCTGCAGAAACCAGATTACTGTAAAATTCTCTCACCACTTGCAATCTAGGTTTCATTGTAGGATTGCACAGTTTCGTTCAGTTGTGCAAGAGGATGTACATCTGGGGAAAATCCTCTGAAATCCCTCTTTCAACAATGAATTTGCAATTTATGTTGTTCGTGAAGAAGTTCCAAGCTTCGTCAGCGCTGTACAGAGCAGAATCTCTTTCGGCTTGAAGGGCTACATGTGCCACCTCTCTCTGTGCTCTAGTGGGTTGTCTAGGCTTGGTGATTTGTAATTGTTCAATACCAATCCCCAGGTGCCTATTAGTGACTCTCTTTCTGGCACCTTGCTTTCTATTGACCATGGCTATAAAGAGATTTAGATCTTTCTCTGGGAAAATAGATACGTGAATCGGAGGTGAATAGTGTGAGGTTTTCGAAGAAGGCAAAGGAGCGTCTGCGACAGTGTTGGTTGGTTGCAGAAGGGAAGAATTGGGAGAGAAGAAGAATTTTTGCAGGGTATGTGACAGGGTAGATAATGATGAATTTGGGGCATGGGTGTTTTAGTTAAAGGCACCAACTCCTCACGTTTAGTCATTCAAGGTGAAGAAAGGAAGATCTTTTCTAGCCGCCAAAACACGTTTATCCGAATCAAAATTTCACCCCAAACTTAAAGCAAAGACCGGTTTCCAAAGTCAATGTCAGACTTACTTGTATTTTGAAAAATCAAAATGACATTTGCAAGTTAGAAACTGACTTCTGGAAGTGGCCAACCCAACTTCCTGATCTGTGATGATATACCTCGTTTCTTTCCATGACATTTGTTAGATACTGGTCATCACTCCTCCTGGAATTTGGCACTTCATCTGGGGTAGGGATTACCCGCAAAACAAAATACTAAAAGAGAAAGGGTTAAGAATAAAAGCGCTTGGTTGCCTCCCAGGTAGTGGAACAGTTTATATTCTTTGACCAGACTGTGCAGAAGGTATCATTCAGGATCATGGAGTGACAGAACATGACTGTCCTGCTCTCCTTCAGAATGTATTCCCCAATACGGCTCCAGCTTTTGTCCATTTACCAGAAATGTGCTCCCTGTCTGTAGGTTCATTAACTACATTGCTCCTTGGCTCAGAATCTTGCTGATCTTGTAAGGACCTCCCCATCTTGATTTCACCTTCCGAGGGAAGAGCTTCAGCCTGCAGTTGTAGAGTAGGACCAGCTTTTCTGCCTCCAGTTGCTTCTTGAGCAGCTTCTTATCATGGAATCTCTTGGACTTCTCCTTATAGATTCTGGATTACTCATAGGCTTCTTGTCTCAATTCCTCCAATTTAGTCAGTTGCAGAAGCCTATGGTATCTGTTGAGGTTTGGATATAAATTCAGGTCCCTCAAGGCCTAATATGCCTTGTGTTCTAACTCAATTGGAAGGTGACATGCCTTTCCATACACCAATTTGAATGGATACATACCAACTGGAGTCTTAAAAGTAGTTCTGTATGCCTAGAGAGCATCACCAAGTTTAGCATCCTAGTTAGTCCATGAACTGTTGCTGACTACTTTTTCCAATATCCTCTTGATCTCTCTGTTTGATACCTCTGCTTGACCATTGGACTGTGGATGATAAGGTGTAGAAATCTTGTGCTTGATGCCAAACTTAGCCATCAGTGTATGAAAGATCTAGTGCAGAAATGAGAACCCTCATCACTAATTATGGCTCTTGGAGTGCCAAAATGAGAGAAGATGTTCTTTTTCAAGAACCTGATCACTGTTTTAGCATCACTGGAATGAATTGCTACAGCTTCTACCCACTTAGAAATATAATCAACTGCAAGTAGAATGTGTTTGTAACCATAAGATGACACAAAAGGTCCCATAAAGTCTATGCCCCACACGTCAAAGAGTTCTACTTCTAGGATCATTTCCTATGTCATTTCATTCCTCCAGGAGATATTTCCTATTGTCTGGCATCTATCAGAGCTAAGCACATAATTTCTAGCATCCTTAGGTAAAGTAGGCCAAAAGAAACCAGATTGTAGTACCTTGGCAGAAGTTCTTTGGCCTCCATAATGTCCTCCATAGGGTGAGCTGTGGCACTTCTCCAAAATTGCAGGTGCCTCAGATTCTAGTACATAGCGTCTGATTAGTTGATCCACACACCTTTTGAATAAAAAAGGTTCATCCCAGTAGTATTGCTTTGCATCATGGATGAACTTCTTCCTTTGCTGCCAGCTAAGTCCTTTAGGTATGACCCTAGAGACAACGTAGTTGGCAAAATCAGCAAATCATAGCCTCTGTTCGAACACTTTGGCAAGTGACTCAGTCACATGCCAAAGTCGTTCATCAAGAAAATCTTCAACACTGGCTTAGGATCTTCTGGTGGATTTTCAAGTCTTGACAAATGATCTGCTACTTGGTTCTGAATGCCCTTGCTGTCTCTGATCTCCAGGTCAAATTCTTGCAGTAGCAAAACCCACCTAATCAACCTTGGCTTAGAATCCTTCTTTGTAACTACATACTTTATGGTTGCATGATCAGTGTATATTATGACTTTCATTCCTAAGAAGTGGGATTTGAATTTGTCAAAAGCAAACACTATTGCCAGCATCTCTTTCTCCGTAAATGAGTAGTTGATCTGGGCTGCATTCAGAGTCTTGCTTGCATAGTAGATAACATGCAACACTCTGTTCCTCCTTAGACCTAGCAGAACTCCCATAGCAAAGTCAATGGCATCAATAATTATTTCAAATGGCTGAGTCCAATTAGGTGTGACTATCACAGGAGCTGAAATAATCTTCCCCTTGAGCTCTTTAGATGCTTTTGTACAAGTCTGATACGAATCTTGATGTGAGATTATTGAATTACCTCAAACGTGGAAGTTATGAATTTCCCAAGACGTGACAACTTGTGACACCAATGGAGAATACTCCAAACCACATGAGAAAGAGAAGAAGAAAAGAAGAGGAACGATGCAAACCACTAAAATTTACACCAAATAGGATAGACAGGCAAGAAGATGATAGAATGTGTTTTCGGCTAGCAACCCGATTAGAATACTTCTCTAATAATCCCACCCCTTCGATTTACGGGCAGAATGGCTAGCTAAAAGGCTCCAATGAATTGCTATCAAGGCTCCACACATGAAGAACACTTAAAATCGTGCTCACGCTTGCAACAAAGCACAAAACAATTTGTGTAATGCACTATTCTTCAAAAAGAATAGAATAACAAAGAGTTTCCTCTCTTTTCATATTGAAAAATCAATAATAATCAAAGACATATATTTTTGGTTGACCAAGCCCCCTCTATTTATAGGCATAGGTTTGCTTGGACAAATAGAAACCTGAATACAAGTTCAACCGGATTTGTCTACCTAGGTTTCCTAATATAGATTTAAATAATCATTAAATAAATAATTACACATGTCACAATTACTTAAAACCATCTAGAATCTTCTAGATGGGTAGGAGAGTCGGCCACTAGGGTTAAATCACCGAAAAATCCTTTTTCTAACCAAAATAGGACTTGAGAAAAATTCTGCCGCGCAACCGTCGACCCTCTCGTCCACCAACAATCAAGCCGACGCACTCCTGTCGATCGTCTTGTCGACCAACGGCCTACTCGACGCCAGCTTGTCAACTTTGTTGTCAACTTCTTCACCTCGACCTAGAGCTTGACTTGCACTAAAAGCTTCATCTCCACTCCAAGATAACATGAAACCCATGGAATTGAATCCACATTGAGAGCTTGAACATCCATAAACAAGTTGTTGAGGATTCATTCATTTTCTTCCTTCGAGACCTCTTCTTAGAACCTCCAATATTAGCTAATGGATCTTGAATCACTCTTTGAGCTCAAACTTGATTACTTGGTTTAACATTGACTTGTCCTTAAGCTTGATTACCTACGATGTCCACATCATTCCTCTTTATTAATTGCTTCTTCCCGACTAAATCATTGATGCACACCTTGTTAGCTTTCTCGTCTACCTCATTTGCTGGACCATCATGTCGACGTGATTCTTTTGATTTCATTGTCGACTTGATTCTAGCTTGACGCGAACCATATTTTGGCTTCAATCTTCCATCATCCTTGATCCCAACCTCAATATGACAACATACAGCCCCTATATGATCATAATCAATGTAATGATCATCATAGTTAGGTATGACACTCAACGGGCCATCCGGGATCACATCATATCCCCCTTCCTTGAAACGATTCGTGCTCGAATCATGTTTCATGTTATTCCAGAGGAACAAATTCGTCATGGTCTTCTTATGCTTCTTCACAAACATCCATTGACCATCAACTATCCAGAATTTTGAGAAATTTTGGGGAACCAGAACTTCCCATGAGAATGTATCACCAAACACAAAATCAATGTGTTCAATCTCCTCATATGAATCCATGAGTATTATATCTTCATGTTCATCAACCACTTTGAGCGAACAAGATGTAGAAATAATAGGGACTAGAATATCCATTGTGATAGGAACATTCTCCATAACTACTTCCTCATCATTGTCATTTGTCATAGTATCTCAAACATCAACAACAATATAGTCACCATGACCAGCAACTCCACTAATTTGATAGTAATTCCACCTTGACATAGAGTTTAAGGCACGATGAACTTCTTCTTCAAGAGGCACAGTAATGGAATCAAATATGTCATAGAAGTTATCCATCAAAGAAAAATCTTGTTTCTTGGACTCAACCTCTTCAAACAATGACAAATCATTCGACTCCTCAATATCAACTTCAAGATGTAAAATATTGGAATCCAATGACATGGAATTATTTTCTTCAACAACACTTTCAACCTGTGGATAAGAAATGGAAAAAATGAAAGAATTTTTGTTAGAAAAATTTTCTTCCAAAACCAAATCTTGGATCTCTTGCTCGAACTCATGTTGCCACTCTTCGCATTCTTCTTTCTCTTCTTCAAGTGCAATACTTTTCAATCTAATCTCTTCCTCCTCGGCATATTGTTGGAAAGAAGATTCCATTTTCTTTGTTGACTCTACGATCCTTTGCATTTGAATTTGAATTTGTTGCATGAGCTCTTGAGAGTTTAAGGTCTCTTGTCGCCTAGTCTCTTGAGAATCATATATTTGTTGCAACATAGCTTGCTTCTCCTCATATATTCTCCATTCTTCTTGCTTCTGAAGTCTCTCTTTTTTCAAAAACATAGGACCAAATTCATTACGAAGTTGTTGATGAGCACTCGCCAAGAAATAATAGGAGGATCACCAAACCATCTTTTATCTCGTTCAAGTTCGGTCCACCATGTAGTTACATCTCCACGAAACATGGAAATAAGGAATTATACCTTCTTAGTCTCTGAATGATCTTTAAGAGAAAACAACCTCTCTACATGCGCTTCCCAATCAAGATATTGATCTTCATCTTGTCGACCATAGAACTTGGGAAACTTTCTTTTAGTACTATAGTAACGCCTATCATATTCTTCATCATAATAATCAAAGTACCCCATTGCACCTTGCTCATAACATCACAACACATACAAGAAAATAGAATATCGAAGAACACTACCTTGTTACCGCTTCTAACTATACTATTCACTCCCCAAGATCACTCAAGAAGGTTTAGATTTAGTAAGGGATGGATACACTCTTTTCTTACCACGGTCTTTGTCCTTCAGTCCTTAGTGCAATGAAGAATAGTACTACTTTATGCAAGCAACTAAGAGGATAAAAAATTATTCTGAATAATTATAACAAGATCTAAGGAAGAACACAAATATAGATCGAGTACTTAAAACTATGAAACTTAGATCTCACGAGAAGGGCTAATAGAACTTGGAGCAAATTCTGAAAATTTAATGTCTGATTTAGGGTTAAGATAGAACCCTAGTCTCGTCCACCACACACTTCAAATTAGGGTTTATATTTTCTTTTTTTGAAAACCCTAGCCACCAGAAACTCCAATGAATTTGGCTTAGATAATTGTATTCGGATCGCATCAAAGACTCATCAAAGATGAATGCAACATATTTCTCCAAAAGATTACACAAGGGCTTAGATATTTTTTAAAAGTCCTTGATGAATCTCCTGTAGAAATCTGCATGGCCAAGAAAACTTCTCACTCCACGAAGTGTTGTTGGTGCACTGAACTTCTCTATCACCTCTATCTTTGCTCTATCAACTTCAATGCCCTTTTCTGAAATTCTGTGGCCTAATACAATGCCCTCTGTCACCATGAAATGGCCTTTTTCCCAATTCAAGACCAGGTTGGTCTCTACACACCTCTGCAACACCTTGCTCAGGTTTTCCAGACACTCTTCATATGTCTTCCCAAATACAGAGAAGTCATCCATGAAAATCTCAATGATGTCTTCCACCATATCTGAGAAGATAGCCATCATACACCTCTAGAATTTTGTTGGTGCATTACACAAACCAAATGGCATTCTTCTGAAAGCAAAAGTGCCATAAGGACATGTGATAGTGGTCTTCCCATGGTCATCTGCAGCAATAGCAATATAATTGTATCCTGAGTAGCCATCCAGGAAACAATAGTAACTATATCCAGCTAATATGTCCAGCATTTGATCATTGAAGGGTAGTGGGAAATGATCCTTCCTGGTAGCCTTGTTGAGCTTCCTGTAATCCATGCAAACTCTCCAAGCAGTAATTACTCTGGTGGGAATGAGTTCATCCTAATCATTCTTCACCACTATCATCCCTCCTTTCTTCGGAACACACTGGACTGGGCTCACGCAAGTACTATCAGATATAGGATAATGATCCCTACATCTAATAGCTTGATGATCTCTTTCTTGACTACTTCCTTCATAGCTAGGTTCAACCGTCTTTGACCTTTAATGCTTGGATTTGCTTCCTCTTCAAGAAGAATCTTGTTAGTGCAGATGGAAGGGCTGATGCCTTTGATGTCAGCTATGGTCCAACCAATAGCTTCCTTGTGCATCCTTAGTATTTTGATCATCTTATCTTCCTCTGTCTCAGTCAATGATGCTGAGATGATACATGCAAAGTGTCTTTGGAGAGTGATCTAAGTAACTTAGCCAAGTCATGGCTGAGTCCTCAATTGTATGTCCTGCATCTACTTTAACATCAAGTAGTATCTTAAGCAATTCATCAGACTCTATTACCTCTACAGATGCTTGCTCAATAGTTTCCTCCACAACATCGATCTTGAATTATTTCTGCATCTCTGCAGGAAATTTCATGTTGTTGAAGATGTTGAAAGTCACCTTTTCTCCATGAAGCTGCAAAGTAACAGCCCCTTTTCCTTACTTCTATGATAGCATCACAGGTTGCTGGGAAATGTCTACCCAAAATGATAGGGACAACCTTATCTTCTTCCATATCCAAGACAACAAAGTCATCTTGATAAATGAATGATCCAAGTTTGACTAAGATATCATTCAGAATGCCCTTTGGATATGTAAGGGATCTATCAGTGAGCTGCGAGGTAATGTTAGTAGGCACAAGAATATCGCTGACTCCCAGTGTATTAAAAGCAGATAAAGGCATCAAGTTTATACTTGCTCCTAAATCTAGCAAAGCTTTCTTAAATTTTGTGTTACCGACAGTGCAGGGAATTGTGAAACTCCCTGGATCCATGAGCTTTGCTGGTAGCTTCCTTAGAATGGCTGCACTGTTCTCCTCATTCAAAGTTATGAATAATGAATCATGAATCATTGGCTTGTTTGAGACTAACTCCTTCAGGTGCTTGAAATACTTTGGCATTTGCTTCAGAACATCAATAAATAGAATGTTGATGTGTAAGCTTCCCAGATTGTTCATGAATATGTTGATGGCTGCTTCTGAAGTCTTCTTCCTAACTTGCCTGAGTGGATAAGGGGGTATTGGTATCTCAGGCTGATCTTGAGGTGATGGAGATTGAGGCTCCCCTGTGAAGCCTGGTTTTGTTATGAAATGCCCCTTACGATCCACTGCATCTTCTCTTTCTTCAGTAAGGTCAATGATGTCTTCAGCTTCCTGAGGCACAGCTACAGGTGGTAGAATTGGAACCTCACTTGTGGAAGTGAGTTTCTTTCCACTGCAAAGTGACACCACCTTGGCTTGTTCCTGTTGAACTGCCCTGCGGTATTCCATAGTATCACTTAGCAGGCTTCCCGCTAATCGACCTGCACATAGCTTCTCGTTCTGACTCAACCTTGCCTCCAATTGACGTTGGCTGGCTTGTAAAGACTTGATCGTCATCTTTATCTCAACCACATCACTTTCTTTTAAGTTCCAATCTGATTTCTGAAAACCAGGTTGTTGGTTCGACCTTTGGTAGCTGCGTTGTTGCTGATTGCTATTCCAGTTGTCTTACTGCCCTCTCTAGTTGTTGTAAGGATTGAAAGCACCGGCATTATTCTGTCGAATAAATTGAGCTGACTCCATCAACTCAGCACACTTATCAATCTTATGTGGGCCAGAAAATGACTCGTACAAGTCAATCTGTGACTTGGCAATGCGAGCTTCAACTTTGGCCATCTAATTTAAAAGCTGAGAGAGTTGGGCTTGCATATGTGCAGCTGTATCAACTTTATATACTCTAACCTTCTTGGGCAAAGCTCTGGGATCTGATTGTCACCTGTAGTGGTTGGTTGCCATGTTCTCCAACAGCTGGGTTGCGTCTTCCATATTCATCATGAATGCTTTACCAGCAGAGGAATTGAGGGAATCTCTGGAGGACTGGGTTAGATCATTATTGAAAATGCCTAACCTCATATGTTCCTCAATACCGTGCTCTGGACATTTTCTTAACAGCTCCTTGAATCTTTCCCAAGACTCATACAATGTCTCATCAGGATGTTGCTGGAACGTCATGATTGCAGTTCTAAAATGGGCTACTTTAGATGGTGGAAAGAACTTAAATAAAAATGCTTGCTTTAATTCCATGCAACCTTGTGATGGAGTTGTTGGGCGGAGAATTCAACTGCGTTTGAGCTTGATCTTGAAGGGTGAATGGGAAGAATCTCAGTTTCATGTCATCCTGAGATAGTCCCTAGATCTTGAATGTACTACAGACCCTTAGAAAGGTTGGTAGATGAACATTAGAGTCTTTTGATGGTAGACCATAAAATAGACAAGCTGCTTGAACCCATTGAATCATATTTGATTCGAGTTCAACATTATCAGCTTCCACATCTGCGAACATCAATGGCGATTGAAACTCCTCTTGTTGAGGGATAAAGTAATCTCTCAACAATCGGGGTTGAGCTGGCTGAATTTCAGCTCCACCATTATGTCTTACTATTTCATCAGCTAAGGCTTCCATGGTTTCAGCAAAATCTTCTTGGTGTTCAGCAGTTGCGTAGTGACGTCTGAGTTTTCTGATTTTCCTGGAAGTGGCTTCAATTTATGGATCAAAGAAGAAATACGTCGGAAGGACTATTTCTTGTCATATACTAGAAACCAAGAATCAAACAAAACAAGTAACGGGAATGAAAAGATTTTGGGTTTGATTTTAACAGCTAAGAAAACAGAGCATAAAGTAAACAGTAACTAATTTTCAGAAAGATGTTTTATGCCGTCTCCGGGAACGGTGCCACTTTTGATGGGTGTCGAGACCACCAAAACAAACCTGCTTAAAACTTATAGTAAGTGATAAGAAGGGTCGATCCCACCGAGACGGGAAACACTTGATGAAAATTGGGATCCAGTACAAAAACACAAAGCAAAAGTAAAAGCAGTAAATTGGCAAGTGAGTTTATGACTTGGCAAAGTGATGGTAGCCTAGGGTCATCCTCCACTCTACTTTATATGCGTATGTAGTGATTCTTTTAGCTCTCTATGTGGTATGAAAGAGTATTCAATCAGGCTCATAAACTGTAAGGTCATTTCCCATTGTTCCAGACAACACCTAATAGTAACAAGTAAACTAACTTCCGTTGTCGACTCTGAATGACTACTAAGCCATTAAGATCTTCGGCCCTTATGATTGTCTCGTGCCAAACAACTAACTTCCGTTGTTGTTTGAAACCTTGGGCTGTTACCCCCTCGTCACCGGTTAATCTTAGACGTTGAAAGTTAAATTTACCCTTCTGGATTCTCGTAACATGCAAGTACAATTAGTTTGAATGGCTTGTTCAACCTAAAATGATAATTTCAACTCTAAGACTAAGCATACAAATATCATTCGAGAGCATGAATCAAAACATAATTATATAGAGTAGAGTGATTAGACCGTAGAAATGATTTTAGCTTCTCAATGAATGAAGCTCAAACACCAAAAGGTTCAAGTATTGAGAGTTCATCATGATTACAACAGATAGAAAAGAAATCAGGGAAAGAGTAAAGTGGTGCGTGCCGAGTTCACCAAAAAATATTACTAGCTTGGATTGTGATTTTTGTAGATAATGGAAGCTAGGTTGATCCCACGAGGACAGCTAATTACCAAATTCGTTGTTAAAAGACTACCAGTTAGACAAGGTGTCACTCAGGGGAATAGAAACAGTCACTCAGGGGAATAAAAGCCAGGGGTGTTCATCTCCTCTTCCTACTGTTGTAGTTGTTAATCAGCACTGTAATGGTTAAGTTCTTGTTCATTCAGCTCACTTATAACTCTAAGTCAGTTCCCGTTTTTCCTAGAGTCATCTTTGCAACCGTAACAATCTATTTTCCAATGATTGATTCCAGTTAAAAAGTCATTAAGATCTCAGGCTTACATGAATGCTTATGTCAACTAAGTATATTCCTATCTTAGTTAAAACCATAGACTGTTACCTCTATGTCATAAGTTGAAGTTGAAACAATCCAAACCTAGTCTATCTTTCCAGATTTCCCTTAGTTCTAGCATGCATTCAATTTAGTGATCAAGTAAATGAATGTAGAAAAACCTTCAACTTCAAAACAAGGAACAGAACCAGTGTATTACAACAACCACAACATAGATTGAGGAGATTAACCCCTGGAAGCTACTTATCTACTCATGTAGATTAATGCTACATCTACTACATCAGAAGACCTCATAGAAGTATGCATCATAAACGAAGTTTAAGCTAACAGTCAAGAGACGAGAAAAAAGCTTGTGCAGTTTTGAACCACTCCTGAGAGTGAAAGAGTTCACTCATGGAAGTGAGGCAGTGACTGGGAAGGCTGTTCTTCAACTTGGCTTCCTTACTGAGTTGTTGCTGTTCCTTCTTCCTTCTTGCCTTCTTCTAGAGCTTTTCTGTGTGTTTTGGAAACTGAAAGGGTAGCCAGAGATGTCCAATTCTGAGAGTGCAGCTCCGCTTTTATAGAGCCCTGCAGCCGGTTCTTCAATCAAGAGAGCCTCCCCATGCTTGTGAATTGTTTAATCCTTCCTAGGCCTTGTGTCTGGAATCCAAAATTGACTGGTCTTCTTCTCTTCTTCCAGTAGTGGTAGCAGCAACCTCATTGATAAACATGGGTGGTTGGAATTTCAGCCAAGAGACAAGCATGCCCTTTTGAATTCAAATGAGAGACACACTCATTAATGGCAAGATGCTTTGTGTCTTGGGAGTCCTTTTTCGACCAGCTCAGCAAAAAATGTATCAGTAGCCTAAAGGGATGATGGTAAAATCGTATTGTGTATTGATACATGGGGTACATATTTATAATGATACAAAGGAAACCCTAATCGTAAAATATAAACCCTAGTAGTAATTATGCAATAATTACAAATTACATTCTATTACTCCCACTCAAGTTGGAGCATGTAAATTCCGAATGCCCAACTTGCGCAACAAAGTATGAAAGTGATCGGGACCCAAAGCCTTTGTGAAGAAATCCGCCAATTGAAAGGCCGAGAAAATCAGGCGCGGAACGAGTAAATTTGACTGAAAATGTTGTCGAACGAAGTGACAGTCAATCTCAATATGTTTGGTACGCACGTGGAAAGCAGGATTGGTAGCAATATGAAGAGCGGCATGATTATCACAAAAGAGCGAAACCGGATGAAAAGAAGGAACTCCCAACTCTGTCAAAAGACGAACTAGCCATACAAGTTCGCTAGTAGCAACAACCATAGCCCTATATTCAGCCTCGGCTGAGGAGCGAGAAACAACAGATTGCTTCTTGGAGCGCCAGGAAATGGGAGAAGACCCAGCCCAATCCGCGTCACAGTAAGCACGGAGATGTAATGGGCTATTAGAAGGAAGAAAAATACCCTGGCCAGGAGCAGCCTTCAAGTAGCGCAAGACACGCAAAGCAGCCTCAAAGTGAGCTGTCGAGGTTGATGCATGAACTGACTAAGAACATGAACTGCAAAAGTGATATCAGGGCGAGTAATGGTCAAATAAAGAAGTCGTCCAATGATGCGGTGATAACGGCCCGGATCTTTACACAAATCGCTCGACTCAGATCTCAACCCATGATGTTGGTCGATCGGAGTGGAGCTAGGACGACAACCAGTCAGACCACATTCAGTCCAAAATATCAAGAGTATATTTTCGCTGATTAAGAGCAATCCCAGTAGGAGAGCGAGCCACTTCAATGCCCAAGAAGTATTTGAGAGGACCAAGATCTTTGATGTGAAACCGTTCATGAAGAAACTGCTTAAGGCGACCAATCTTGAGCGGATCATTCCCAGCCACTATAATATCATCAAGAGGAAGATCCACTATAAGAACCGCAAGAAAGGAAGATCCACTGGTGTAGACAAATAAAGAGGAATCAGAAGAAGACTCCTTAAAACCAGCAGAGACAAGTGACTAGGTGAACTTCTGGTACCAATTGCGAGAGGCTTGACGCAATCCATAGAGAGACTTCTGAAGATGACAAACACGTTGCTCCCCCTGTTTAGCAAAGCCCTGAGGAATTTTCATATAGACCTCCTGATGGAGATCACCATGTACGAAGGCATTAGTAACATCGAGCTGATGAAGCTCCCAATTACGGACATAGGCAACAGGGAGCAAGCAACGAACAGTGACTAATTTGGCAACAGGAGCAAAAGTCTCATGGAAGTCAACGCCCTCAATTTGTGTGTAGCCCTTGGCCAGAAGACGGGCCTTATAGCGCTCAACCCGGCCATTAGGATGAAACTTGACCTTGTACACCCATTTAGAGTCTATAGGGTCCAAGTATTATTGGCTTCCAGGGCAGAGATTTCTTTGGCCATAGCATCCCTCGAATGTGCATATTTAACTGTCTGTGAAAAACGAGTAGGCTCATCCACAGATGAGATAGCAGCTAACAAGGCATTGTGAGCTTTCGAAAAACGAGAATAGCACAAAGTATTGGAGAGAGGG